CACCAGCCACTCCTCGGAAGGAAGGTTGGGCAATCTACTTCCGTAGTGATATTGCCTCGGAAACCCACGGAGGGGTTGCTGTGAGTCGAGTCCAACTTGATGGCACATAACAACAACAACAAACACTGTCTGTAGATGTCCCTAGGTAGTACAAACTGTTACGTGCTCCACTTACTAGCTGAAAGGCTAGTGGTTGAGAAGACAGGCCTGCTGATCTGCTTCCAAAAGGCCGCAGCCTTGAAACCCCTATCGGGCAGTTCTATTCTGCACACGTGGGGTTGCCGTGAAGCAGGATTGACTTGATGGCAACCAACAAAAACAGCATGCTATCGACATTGACCATTCAAAAGAGAAACACCTAATTTATTTTACAGTATTATCATATGCAGCATCTAGCTTACTGATGGAGAATGACTAGCATCCCCTGAAAATCCCCAAATGCTGAAGTTTTGATTTCTCACTTCATGAAGAATTTCATGTTTGATATAACCAGAGGTGCATGCTTTTCAAGGGCCATGCCTCCTTTTTTGTAGGCGAGGCTGTAAACCCAAATCAAAAAACCAAACCGAGCCCATTGCTTCAAGTCGATCTGACTCAGCGACCCTATAGGAGAGAAGAGAACTGCCTCATAGGGTTTCCAACACTATAATCTTTACAGAAGCAGACTGCCAGATCTTTCTCCTGTGGAGTGGCTGATGAGTTCAAACTGTTGACCTTTTAATTAACAGTCGAGTGCTTAACCACTGTGCCACCAGAACTTCCATGGCCGTTAGCCCAGTGATGTTAAAAATGTTGCTATGGCAAGGCAGAAAGCCTTTCAAAGCTGCTTTCCACCTGATTTGAGGTTAGCTTTTTTCTTTCAGAGACCAGCCACCTTAGAGTATTTGTGCTTGATCATGCTGGTTTCATTCATAAAAAACAACACAAAACAAAACAACCCACCAAACTCACTATTATCAAGTCGATTCTGAATCATAGCAGCCCCCTTTGGGTTTCCGAGGCAGTAAATCTTTATGGAAGTATATTGCCCAGTCTTCCTTTCGTGGACTGGCTGGTGGGTTTGAACCATCAACCTTCTGGTTAGCAGTCAGATGCCTTAGGCACTATGCCACCAGCGCTCCTTTCATTCATAGGAGTTCTAAAAACAAATGCAAGGCTAGACTCCAATTTGCTGCTTCTAGTGGGCCTTCTCATTTTGAGTCTAGAAGAAATAATGCATTTAATTCAATTAGCAATGCTATTCAGTATGAAGCTAAAATAGCATCAGTCCACCACCTTGGTGTGCTTGCCATGCATATGTAGACAGCTTTACGACAGATCCAGAAGGCAGTTGCCGGTGTCTTGCCAAATAAAGCCATAGATTTCTGCGTCGTGCCCTCACTGCCATGGAGTCTATTCTGACTCATAGCGAAGCCCATTGGGTTTCCAAGGTTGTAAATCTTCACAGAAGCACACACACACACTCACTGCCGTTGAGTCGGTCCCGACTCATAGCGACCCCTCCTTGGGTTTCTGAGGCAATATCTCTACAGAAATAGATTGCCCAGTCTTCCTTCCAAGGAGAGGCTGGTGGGTTTGAATGGCCAGCCTTCTGGTTAGCAGTCAGATGCCTAGGCACTATGCCACCAGAGCTCCTTGTCCTCACTAAAGGACTTAACAAATTGCATCCAGAGCCCGGTGCTACAGAGTTTGTGGTAGAGTCCACTTTTGCATGTGGCCAGCAAGATGGCTTGAGTATAGGTCATGACGGTGATAGCACCAACGCAGCTGGCTGGTGATAGGATAAGGGAGGAGGAACACAGTGAAAAAAGAGCAAACTTCTTTCCAGCTCTCCTCTCCCTCCCAGACTCTCACTTCATCTGCTGACACTTTTTGGAGGGTTCCCAAAGTGTGTCCACTTAGCTGAATTTCCCACTTTGTCTCATGTATATCTCTATGATAACATGTAATATAGACACTCTGATAGTTATTTATATATCTGACTCTCCACTCCTCTCACTTCTCCTCACACTCTGAGCCCCTCAAGAGTGAGGATGGACCTTGGTAAGCTTTGTGCCTCCCCCATTGTGTAGCTTGTCATGATGCTGTTGTTGTTGTTGTTAGTTGTCATCAAGTCAGCTCTGACTCATGGTGACTTTTCATAAAACAGAACGAACCATTGCCCAGTCCTGCGCCATGTTCATGATCATTGGTATATTAGAGTCCATGATTTTGGCTCCTTTGTCAATCCATCTTATGTGGGGTTTCAATCATTTTCACTGACCCCCTAATTTACCAAACATGACATTCTTTTCTAGTGACTGGTCTTTGCTAACGACATGTCCAAAGTAAGCGAGCAGAAGTCTCACCATTTTTGTTTCTAAGGAATATTTTTGTTGTATTTCTTCTAAGTCGGATGCTTGTACTGATGCACAGTGGGTATTTAATAAATGCCTACTGAATGGCTAAATGCAGCCTTCTCTTACCTTATCAGCTCCGGTGCCTCTGAATCTTATTAATCAAAGATGATATGCAGTTGTAAAACTGCATATTCATGATAATGCATTATTTACATTTGATCCAAAAATATTAAATTTTTCTATAAAGTTGTTTAGGAGCTCTGGTAGCATAGTGCCTAAGGCACTTGACTGCTAACCAGAAGGCTGGCAGTTCAAACCCACCAGCTACTCCTCAGAAGGAAGGTTGGACAATCCTACTTCTGTAGTGATACTGCCTCAGAAACCCAAGGAGGGGTCGCTATGAGTTGGGGCCGACTCGACGGCAAATAATAACAAAAACCTAAAGTTGTTTCCTTTAAAACAGACTCAAGAAAGGTGAAGAAAAGCTAGAGGCCTAGATTTCTAAAATCCAGTTCTTTATACCTACTAGCTTTCTTCATTTAAATAGAAACTTTGGTCACTCTGATAAACACCAATGTCATCTCTGGATTTTCACTGATGAATCAGTACTTGGGAAAATGACCATTTGACTGTGTCTGCCTGTAGGTCTGAAACGTAAGTGAGCAGGTTCCCTGTGCCAGGCTCCCTCTGAAAGTGAATGTTTGTGTTTCTATTCCAGAATTCATTCCACAGGCATTTGGAATGCCCTTATCCCAAGTCATTGCGAATGACCGGGCCTATAAACTCAAGCAGGACTTACAGAAGGACGAGCAGAAAGACGCATCAGATTTTGTGGCTTCTCTTCTCCCATTCGGAAATAAAAGACAAAACAAAGAACTCTCAAGCAGTAACTCATCTCTCAGCTCAACCTCAGAAACACCAAATGAGTCAACATCCCCTAACACCCCGGAACCGGCTCCTCGGGCCAGGAGGAGGGTGAGTCGGCCAGTATTTTCCCTGACACTGATGTTAGAAAACCTGAGGGTGTATAAGGTTATTACTTGAGTCTTTGTTCATGTGCAACCTGGAAATATAGTTCAGATTTGGGGATCGATCAGTGACCCTATTCAGCAAGAATTTGAACTGGTCGTATGGCACCTAGCACCCCTCTCAAAGCTACCAGGTGCCCCTCCTTTACTATGCCCATGTCCCGTGATATCTGGAACATTCTACATCCCCATTAATCCCAATCTATTTTCATCTTTTGTTGTCTTGTCAGACTATCCAACTGAAATCTGAAGCTGGAGGGCAGGGACCAGTATTTACTCAATCTCACCATCTTCAGGGTGAGAATCCGACCTGGCCGAATTTGGTGACTGTGTGGGTCTTCACAAATAATGACATATTTCCTTATCCAATGGTAGAAAGATTTTTTTTTTTTTTATCAAACAGTACTGTTGTTGTTATGTGCTGTCGAGTT